TTTAAAACATAGCTGCAGGATATTTAATGCTTATTTTACTCCAGTACTGTGAATTTCAAATTGAAATAGGATGAAGCATTTGTGAATTGGGTCACAATGTCAAATGCTACAAGAGCCTGGAAAATTTGACCATCTCTAATATCTTAAATTAAATGCTAATGTGTATAGCCAAAATAAATAAATAAATAAATAAATAAGAGACCCCTATGCCTGTCTTTTCCCACAATGTATACTTAACTCCTTCTTAACTTTATCTCCTTTTTTCTATAATCTTTATCTCCCTCTTTTCTTTTTTTTACCCTGTTGGTGTACTGCAAGTCAGTCTACCAGCTTACAATGACCACTTAACTACTGCCGACCCATGAGTCAGGGATCTTTAGTTAAACTGAAAAAAAATAAATAAATAATGTGCACTCCAACATATTCCTTAACTTGAGGGAACTTTTCATTATCTGCACTTAGGTAGCTGATGGAACAATGTGGAGATTTCGTTTAGCCAGGAATACAACCGCCACCGCAGTGCTGGCAAACCTGTTAGAAAGGCGTGCCCAAGCAGCCACACCAAATCCACTTATTTATCACTAGGCACCAACACTGCAATTAAACCCAAATACTGAGATTTTAGTTTAGAAAACACAACTCAGATATTAACATCTTTTATTTTAAAAGAACAACAGCACACCATGCCACAGGTTCAACACCTCTGGGCTAAAGCAAATATGTAAGTAATGCCTCAAGCTCCTGAGAGAAGATATCTTATTTTAAAATATTAGCAAAATATACAAAATAACTGAAATATAGACATTCAAAGGCATAAAATGTCAGATAAGAGGTCACAAAAATAAATTCTACAGATCAGTGGGAAAACTGCTCACAGAAAATCTTGCTCCCAAATCACCAAATGACCACAGCCAATGTGTATGAGGAAAATTCCATTATTTGTTGAAACACAGAATCTGCTTTGCTTTGCTTTTCAGTTGAGGATTTGTGAGGATGATGAGAACAGAATGTCCTGGAGGGTAAAGAGAAGAAATAATTATGCTGACAGCTCTGACTCCTGGGCCCATCCTTACATAAGAAGGGAGATAGAAGAGCAGTGTCGCAGCTGAATACGGGACATAGAGGATGAGGAAGTAGATCATCAGCTTCATAGCACCTACGTGAGCTTCCGTCTGGGGATTCCAAAAGCCAGTGGAGTTCCTCTCCATCCTCTGTACATGTCTCCTCAAGGAATGTATTAGCAGAGATGCAGAAGTCACATTAAGGATAAATTGGAATAATGAATTCAAGGCCAAAGAGAACACCAAAGTCAAAATGCCTCCGCTGAGGTCAAACAATGTGCCATTTGTCCCAGTCACAAAGTCAGAGAAATGTGATATCTGTCTGAGCACAAAATACAGGAGGGTCGTGATGAAAGAAATCAGCATACAGACCAGCAGAAGTCTGGTGATCTTTTGGGAAATAATCCGTTTCAGGAGGAGAAACACTGAGTGTTGAAAATTAGTAATCTTCACACAATACAAGCAGTTGAGCAAGGTTGCAAACCAGAGACTGCTGAAGTCCAAAAATCTCCAAAATGACAAAAAAAACATGAAAAGGTAGACTGGTCCTTCAGCATTTGAAGCAATGAAATAGAAAATGTTCAGTAGAAACAATCCCAGCATAAGAAATCTGCTGATGCTCAAACTAAACAGTACCCTGTCAGAAGAAGAGATTCGATGGTTTTTAACCCAGGTCTTATAAAGGACCAGTGTAATAAGCAAATTCATAATCATCCCTAAAAAATTTAAAAGAACAGAGGTAATAATAACAAATAGGAAGACCACTGGAAGCATCTTCACTCGAGGATTCAGCAGTTGTGGTGCTGATGGTGGGCCAAGAGAAATATTGAAATGTATAGAGCAGGCACCAATATCCAGCTAGGAAGGATGTCTCCTTTTTATTTTTCCTCAGCATAGCAAATGAGCCTTGAGTGGTCTAAACAGCAGCTGCTTTCACTGAGATGCAAATCTTCCAAGGATTGCATTACTATTTCTTCATTCCTTTCCTTTCCTTTTTTTTCTTAGAAGTGCCTGATTACAATAAAAACAAGCCTGGGAACCACTGCTGCAAGAGCACAAGAGGTAGAGGGAGATACAGGAGTCTCCAAACTTCAAATCAGAAAACTCTAGTCCAATAATTTTCCTGGCACTGTTCCATAGCAGCTGTTCTCTGAAGAAGCCACAGAATATGGTGGGAATCCTCATGCCTCTCCCACCCACCCACCCATTTTTACTCACATATCCTTGGATGAACTGAATCCAACTTCTCTCTCTTCTCCAATCTGTTGAAACTACAGTCTCCAGTTCTCATTTTGGCTATGCCAATGCCTCTCCTTGATCACTTAGCACCTACAGTGATTTGCTATTATCTAACAGATCAAGCTCAACAAGCTACCTCCATCTCACTTAACCTCCTCCTCTCATGACGATTACTTTGCATTCTTCATACGCTATATACATAAATTTACCATAATCAATTCTGGTTTTGCTTTAAAAAAAGAGCAAAGCCAAAAAATAAAAAATAAAAAATAAAAAAAGAGCAAAGCCATTTCATGTTTTCTTTATAAATCTGTACCTATGCTCAGATTGACTGGGGAAAAACAGTGACTTTTTCCTTAGGCTTTAACTGTCAAAGTACTCTGGTAAGAGATACATATATGCTTTAGTTATAATCTGGGGAGCCAAACAGTTGTCATTTCATTATCTGATTTCTTTGCACTACTGAGATTGTAAAGGATATGATATGCCTAGCAAATGATATTATGGAGAACCACAAATAAGTAGAGAGTCAGTACGGCCTCTCTATTCTAGAAGGTAGAAATCAATCACCTTGAAATCCAGGTGCAATTCTACATATGGTCAAATATATTTGCCAAAGTGACATCAAGGTAAAACACAAATAAGAACAGACTGGAAGGGTTGGGGAGATAGCTCAGTGATCTAAGTGCCTGCCTGGCAAGCGCAAGGATCTGGGTTCAATCCCCAGCACTGCATACCCTGCTGATCACCAAAACTGGGCATTGTGACACACAACTGTAATCCCAGAACCAGCACTGGGGAGGCTGAGACAGGAGGATCACTATGAGTCCCGGGGAAAAAAAAGATGTGATCATGCCAGCTATAGTGGCACACGCCTGTAATCCCAGCCCTTGGGAGGCTGGAGCAGGAAGATCACAAGTTCAAAGCTCACAGCGAGACCCAACGGAGAGAGAGAAAAAGGGAGAGATGTGATCAGGTGGTTACATTATCAGTGAGGAAGCTCATCTACTAGAAGTTACTTGTAAAACAACCACTATAGGGGGTCAGGGAGATGGCTCAGTGGAATAAGTGCTTCCCTGGCAAGCACAAGGGCATGAGTTCAATCCCCAGTTCTACCAAAAAAAAAAAAAAAAAAAAGGAAGTTGCTTAATCTCTCTGAGCTTCTGGGGAAATAAAAGAACCACTATAGCGAAAAGACTAATAAAATCCATTCTCCCACTGTATGAGATTCTTCAGTTAAACTTTCTTGTTCTGCTCTCTTTGTCAGCCTACTAAGGAAAAGCCATCAGAAACACTTTTAGGCGGGAAAAAAAAAAAAAAAAAACTCTGACCGGCTAATCACACCTTACCTATACTGAACTGTAAGTAAAGCATAAATATCTTATGGATGCTCCATGCTTTGGGCTTCCCTGAGTTTCATCTTTTATGTTCATATACCCCTGACTAAACCTTGGAATCCATGTCTATGAAATTCTTAGTAAGAGACCTGGCTTCATACTCCCAAAATTGCTGTATAGATTTAATGCAATCCCTATCAGACTACCACCGACATATCTCACAGACATACAGAAATCATTCCTAAAAATAATCTGGAACCAGAAAAGACCTAGAATAGCAAGGGCAATTCTGGGCAAAAAGACAAGGCAGGTGGCATTACTATTCCTGACGTGAAATTATACTACAAGGCTACTGTGAT